TCCTGTGTTGTAAAAAAAAAAAAAAAAATACAATTAGAAAAGACCTAACTACCAATCCATGTAATCCATAAATGTTACATAGTACAAGCACTGGCATCTACTAATTTTATATTCATTAGACTAGTAGAAATGATAGTTACTATGGCAAGGATCTTACAACGAGTCTCGAGTGTACAGAACTCGAGCAATAAAAGACAGCCAACACTACATTTCATTGCAATACAAAATCAACACTAAACATAAATTCAAGTGCATGAAAGAGTTTGCAACTCGCATAAAGAGTTGCGACGCTGTTTGTTTGTCTGTCAGCTATGCTAATAGCGAAAACTTGGACACTTGCAACTTGTCGTTTCAACAAAATTACACAGATTTCCCGTCTTGACGTTCGCAACGGTAACTGATTTAATACGAATGCATCGGTTTAATAACATATTTTTCTGAATTATGTGTTACTTGTACCTACATAAGTGCGGCTTCGTTCGCGCGGCTAACATATGTTGACTGGTCTGGATAAAAATAAAAAAAAAAATATTAAAAAAAATCTAGAGATTTAAAAAAAATATATACTAAGAGTCAGTTATGAAGTATTATTGATTATCTATCGAAAAATAATTAATTTGAGTCTTACATATTAGCAACTAACTTTTTCGCGCAACGTCGTACGGGTTTTGAAAGTATGTACACACTTCTAGATGGCGGATCAAGATAATCATATACTAAATTGATGATTTGAATAATTTAAACCTGCAGACCAACAATTAAATTAACTATGAAAACTGAATCGAATTTGGTACTGCAGTTTTTATGTGATACTGGAACACAAAAACTGCTACACCAAATAGGATACAGTTTATTGTATTAGTTGTATCAGTTTGAAACGATGCGAATAAACATAACTGTTGGTGAACTGTGGCAACAACTATAAAAATACAGGAGTGCATTCATTCATAAACGAACTAAATTATAACGTGTGTTTTATTCCTTTCTTATAATAATAAGTTTATTGACAATTACTTAGTTTTTGTTTTATGCAACTCAGAATGGCAAACAAGCTGACGACCCACCCAATAGAAAGTGGTAACTTTAAAATGAGCAAATTATAAATCTAATAGTTATTTCCGTGATTTACTTAGTACACGTAAATAACTATTAGTACGTTTTTTTTTTTTGATGGGTGACGCTGGCGGAGCACCAGTGAAGGGTGATAGATGAGAATGAAAACAGGCCAGTTAGCCCATCATGATGAATTCATCAGGAATTAACCATGATAGTTTCCAGGGGGAACCGCGAGGAGGACGACCTGGTTGGGTATATTGCTAACAATGGGATTCTCAGTCTTCATTACTAACAATCCCTTTTCCCCCCATTGGGAAGACTGCTAGGTAGTTATGCTGTTTTATTAATTAACACTAATCACGGATAACAGAGATGTGGATTCGAATCGCTTCGGATTGTGTCATCATGAATAGTACATTCGACCTATTAATTTAAAATTCCCAAATACAGAATTACGTATTGAAAATATTTTCAATTTTTTTATTTATACTTGCATACACTTTATTGCAACATTTATAAAAGTAATAAATAAAGTAAAATATGGCGGCCTTATCGGTAAACAATCTCTTTCAAACAACCTTTGGATAAAGGACATTGAGAAAAAAATCAGGCGCATTATTACATATATACTAACATATACATATGTATGTATATTTGTGATTATATATACACATACACATACTTAATAGCATACATACAACAGGAGCAAATAAAAAAGGAAGATGAAGAGAGAACAAGTGCTTAAAGGGAGAGATAGTAGAACCTTTGATACTAATATTTGTATGTACCGAATAGAGGCAGGTAGTAAGTTCCACAGGCGAATTGCCTGGACATTAGTCATTAGTCATTTATTCAAAAAACAATGTACATTGTGTCTGAATTAAGGGATAAACATACAAAAATCATTACATTAACCTGAATATTACAACCATCCAATAACTATAATAATAACAATAAATTATAATAAATAAATTCTGCAATAAACAGTGTCAATTTCATTGTAATATTATATACATATGTCAAATTCATTTTTAATTATTTACATTAATCAACAGTACAGAAGTTATGTACGGACATTAAAGGATTTAGAATAAAAAGAGAAGTAATGAGCGGCACATTTGACGTGGAGGTTGTTGACACTAAGCGAATCCTAATGTTATATGTTTGAGTGTATGTCTACTAAAGTAATTTCATATTTTTTTCATTAATTGTCCTTTAACCTTTTTTTTTATTGGTGAAATAAATTAAGGTAATATAATTCATGTTCAAAATTTAAGGTAAAATGGTTAAAAAAATAAATTTGACAGCTATGTTTTGTTTTTTGCAATGGGCATTAAAAAGGTATCCAGGCACGATCAACTTAAAGTGAATTTGGTCTTTTATATATTTTTTGGGCATTCAATGTTATGATGGAAATTTCCACCATATGAAAAAAAGGGTTAAAAAGTTAACTAACCACTGCTGTACTGTTAAATTATAGTTAAATTGATCGCTATGGGCTAATTCACCTACCTTCATCCCCACCTGTCACCCTTCACTGGTGCCCCGCCAGCGTATACCGATAGCGCAGGCGCTACCGTTCCATCTTCACTCATTAAGAAAAAACTGGACGCGTTGGGTTACTATAAAGATTCAAAAATATTTGTAAATTCTCTTAAATTCTTGGGGAAAACTGGTCAGTTTTATTGGTGGAAAACTCCCTTAAAAGGATGTTAATAATTTCAATTCCAGCATCTATAGACGTAGACGCGTAACAAGCTGAACTAGTTAGTTCATGTAGGTGCTATCGTGTAGTAAGTTTCGGCAAACGGCAAAGCATAAGTCCCCAAATTGGTCTAACTCCAGCTTGGAAGTTAGAGACAGTTATCGAGCCGTATGCGCCGCCCGGGGCGTTCTCTTCCCAGATAGTTGGCCGCTATTACTGTTTCATTGTGCTCACATGACGCGATGGCAACAAAAAGTGTTTCAAAGCACATTTACAATGTCATAAACGTATTGCATGAGTTTATTGCAAAACTTACTTAGTCAATGACTTGGTACTCCCGAATTAGATAATTCCGTTTCGTTTTGTGTTTCTCGATCGCTATTTTTTTTAAGCAACTTAGAATGGCAAACAAGCTGACGGCCCACCTGATGGAACGTGGTAGCCGTCGCCTATGAACATGGGAAGTACCATGGGGGAAAGAAGGAGACCAAAACATAGTTACATCAGGCAGATCAAGGAGTCGGTGTCGTGTCGTATCAAGAGGTGAAGAGACTCTCTGAAAATCGTAGTGAGTGGCAAGAGCTCCACCAACAAGAGCGCAGCTGTTAAATAGAATAAATAGACAAGCTGATGACCTACCTGATGGAAAGTGGGTTGCCTATAGACATGAGCAATACCATGCACATAACAGAGTATACTGTTTCGCCCATGATACCCCCCATGCGTTGCCATTCCTGAGGACTCAGGTGTTATTCCTCTGTACCCAGTAAATTAACGCCATATCCCATCCTCCAAACCGAAACACAGCCATGCAAACACAACTGCTTCACGGTTGAAACACGAATGGGACAGTGCTATGCTGAAAGATTAAAGAAGATAATTGTTAGTAGCAGCTAGTAAAAATCTACCAGACCAAATCAGCAGGCGGTCCACTCTAGTATCCATCGTGGTCAATTCCTAGTGAACCACCAGCGGAACTCTACAGTACAGGCGGAGTTACTTTACCATTTCCATCCTATAAAAACATCCGTAATGGAATCTGCCACGTGCTGTCAGATAGATAACGAGCGGCGAGCAACAATCGCGGCGTACATTTATAAGGCGCAATTAAAAGAGTGCAGTCGACTCGGCGAGAGCGCTGTGTTAATCCGAGTAATAAAGAAAAATACCCAGGAAGCGACGGCTAATTGTTATAAACTGTGCAAACATGCAAATTGGACGAGCAACGGACTTCCTCGGGCTCTTAATTCAGAAGTTATCTCGTTTTGTTACAGACGCACATTCCCTGCCCGGCACCGTCGCCGCCCCCGCCCCTGTCCGCCGCCTCGCCTCTACAGCGGGCATTCCGACTGTCTATTATATTATAATATCCAACTTAATCATTCAATTGACTTATCATATATATATGCAGGTTCGAACCCCGCACAATACATTTATTTATTTTTCTTTTATATATGTCTACACTAAAATTAGGAAGAGAAAAGATTTGATCTTTTGTTTATAGTAGATAAATGAAAAAAAAAAAAACAAAAGCTACTCAACCGATTTGATTAATTCTTTCACCTATAGAAAGCTACATTATCAGCACAGAGTAACATAGCCTATATTTTACTTTAAAAAAAAATGAAAACTATTTAAAATTGCTTTTGATTATATCTATCGTTACTCTAGTGTCCATGTTTGATACGCCATAGTCGATGTATTTCTGGTAGACCATTTTGCCTTCCAGGATCTTTTCTGTCAGACAGTGTGTAAAAAGTACACTTACGTTTTTTTTTTTATTTTTATAAATGATAATGGAATGGTAACCCCGCCTGCACTAACAGTATACGCTGGCGGAGCACCATTGAGGGATGACAGGTGAGGATGAGACAGGTCAATTAGCCCAACGTAATAAATATACCTGGCACGATGGTTTCCAGAGAGGCCCACGTGGAGGTCGATCTGTTATTGCTAGCAATGAGACTGGTAGTCCAGATAACTAACAATCCCCCTACATCAATTTTTAATGTTTTAGTGCTATAACGGTTTCACACACCGCCTTACCTTCCGATAGTTCAGGATTCGAATCCCACACAATACAAACATTTGTATATACTCACTATGTATATCTTCTATGTAATAACAAAAAATACATATTTAAATATGTCAATTAGTTATCTAATTCCCGTTAAAAAATTCTCCTACTCTAGCTTAACACTAAATGATATTGTGTAATAAAAATTAAAGAAGAAAAAAATGTCTAAGTTCTCGAGAGCTTAATAATATGTAAATAGGTTAGTATGTCCGTGAAGCGGACAAACAATGTGACATGCCACATCCAGTGAGGATATACCAAGTGACAACATCCACACTAGCACAAGACTTGCGCAAGAGTCAGCCTCGCGATCTGCGGCTTTCGGCCTTTCGCCATCCGCTGTAACTTAACTTTTCTATACTAACGTGATATGGACACAAACTGCACATGCGCAGTTGCAGTTTGGAATGATAAAGAACAACAGATACGCGTGTAACAAAATTAAGTTTTATTAATAATTATATTAATAGCCATTTTTGAACGCATTAAAAAGTACAGTGTCGAATTTCTTGTGTGTCGAAGTGTTTGAAAACGTTACCTGACCAAACAATAAGCAAGTAGTGATGTTTTTAGCGTTATTTATTAAATGCATATTTAAATCGTTTAAAATACCCGTCTGTTCTTAATATATACGTAAAGAATGTGCTCCATATTATATTATATATATGGATGTATATCTATTTTATAAATTTAATAACATAAAAATATATTTGTACATATGAAAAAGTGATTACAATTTTTTTTTTTGCTTAATTAAGTGCTAAAATTCCATCAATGAAATACTGTTACTTAGTTATTTATTTAAATAAACCAGCGGTCAGTAACCTTATTTAATAAACAAATTTCTTTAAATTTCATTTCTTTTAATTTCATTGTTTCTCCAGTCTAAATTAAAATTAAAATAAAATAGTTTCATCTAATTTAATATTTGTTTTAAAAATGGAAGACTGAATAATTTTTTTAATAGAATTACAATCTAATAAAGAATTTTGGTCATGAATAAAAATCGCTCAAATGTTATTACCAAAGTGAACTACCTCATCTAATTTGCAGTATATAACTGCACGCAACTCGTATTTCATTCATATTTAAGCATGCAGTAACAAGGCTGCAAGGACAGAAGTGACTTTACCTGATCCAAAGACATAGACAACTGGAATACTTGAAATCTCTACTTGAAAATTAAAAATAAAAATGAAAATCTTGAAGAGTTCTATTACAAATTGTCTATACTTATTGTATTTGGGCGGTTGCCTATGTACCCTGACGCCTGTATTGGAAATAAGTCAAGGCAAGCTCAGGGGCTTGCGGAGTGCTGCTGGCGTGAACAAATATTACGGGATACCATATGCAACATGCAAAAGATTTCAAGTAAGTATAACCTTTTATTTAAGTGCGTTGTATAATCTATATTCACCTTTACTTAAGTAGTTTTTTATCTTCAAATGGGATGGAGCACTCATTAAATAAAATGTTTGATGCGTCATCACTGTAATTATCAAAAATGCTTGAATACACATTTTAGAAAGTATGTTGGTTAACAAACGAAACTTGAATCGAACTAAAATAAACAAAATTTATCGATAGTTTGAGCCTGTAAGTTTAAATCGCAGAGTAAGACCGGTCCCGTACTATGAAGTAGGTATTTTTGAGTGCAATTGAATAGATTTTTTATTTTTTTTATTATTTTTTTTTATTACTATTATTATTTTATCAACCGTTAACTGTCCACTGCTGAACGTAGCCTTTCCCCATAAGGGAAGTATATTTATAAATATATCATATATTAATAAATTTAATATGACTGTCGGTCGTTTTGGCGGGAAACCGGAATTTTTTTTTTTACAAGTCGAGCAAAGCCTTCTTCTATTCATCCATATGGTTTCTTTATTCTTCACAGATTATAAAAACATTTGATCAATCATTCGCTCAAACAGTTTTGAATGAACGGCTGTGTTCGGCTCAAGTTATATTTATCAAAAGTTCAAACCAACATCGTAAAAGGGTACTTACTCAATAGTGCTGTTCACTTGGCATCGATTAAGTAACATGTGCGTATTGTACTAAGTACTCATTTATCTATACAATGAAATATGTCATGACCGATCTATTGCACAGCTTTACTGAATGTAACAAGTGCTTACACAAATAATAAAATACAACATTGCACTGCTTTGGGGGGAAAGGGATTGTTAGTAATGGAGACTGAGAATCCCATTGCTAGCAATATACCCAACCAGGTCGACCTCCTCGCGGTTCCCCCTGGAAACTATCATGGTTAATTCCTGATGAATTCATCATGATGGGCTAACTGGCCTGTTTTCATTCTCATCGATCACCCTTCACTGGTGCTCCGCCAGTGTATCCCGTCAGCGCAGGCGGGGTTACCATACCATTTTCACCGATCAAAAAAAAAATTGCCCTGCCAAAAAGAACTATTCTAAAAAAACTATAGATTGTTTCCTACAAAAAAAATCGACTTCAATTGTGATAAACTCAGTTATTTTGTTCTAAAAACTAAACTACTAATTTCGATAAAATTTCTATTAGACTAATCTGTAAGTATATTTTTTCAAACAAAAAAGGAATTTTCCACTATGAAGTAGCAAACTTAAAAAGTACAACCAAGTTAACAACCTCGTCTCTTCTCTTCTCCTCTTCTTTTTGAAGTGGATTGAAAATGTGGTCAGCATCACTTAGGATGATGCAAGAGTTCTAACAATACCTCACTCATCAGAATCTGTTCAGATTTAAAGAAGTTATAGTGGCATAAAGAACCTACATACATATATACAAGGACCCTGAAAACATTACACTCTTTTTTTGGACAGTCGTATAAAAAGTCGTAATTTTACCATAAATTTTGCACGTAATGCGACCTGGGAAGTGGGTTACACAGCAAGGAAAAGAGACAGAGAAAAACAAATTTCCCCAAGGAGCATAATCGAAGTAATAATTTTGGTTCTAAAAATATTTTTATATTTCGACCTACGTTCCTTAGGGAACATTATTCGGTTCGCAAAAACGAATACCCGTTCTATAACACAAAATTAATTTTTATTATGAATTGTAAAAATCATTTTGGACCTTGTTGTCGGGGCCGCAGGCTGGGACTGTCCTTAATCTATGGTATTGTCGACTGCCAAAGTATATGTTTTGAGAGCATTCATAACGAAGTATGGAACGTCAGAATTTTCGGTCAATTTGCAATTTTCAATATTTCTATGATTATTTAAAAAAAAAATGCTCTGCTAGCGTACCAAAATGTTAATAATATCAATCGATAAATCATTTATTTGTAATAGTAGTCATGCAATAATAATCTTATTAAAATCTCATTGAAAATTTCTATTTTGATGGCAAATATGTATTTATAAAATTTACTCTAAAAAATATGAAATAGCTGGAAAGCTTTTAATGGTAGATTTATACACAATGAACGTATTCTATGTATAACGGTTTCGAAAATACGTATGTAAAATTTTTGTTCGTATTTATATGTCAATTATTTGTCAAAAACAAATTTTAGATTACTAGATTATATATTCGACACAGTTTATGTGGAAAGAATGCAAGCAGGTTGTATCTGAATTTGGTAGGGTTATACGGCCGTATAGATTTTCTATACACTAGCCTGCTATGAATTGAGAAAAATACCAACTAATGGTATATCTTTCGTCCTCTTTTTACTAATTATATTTGCATACGAAAAAAGGAGGCAACCATATGATTTACAGTTTTTATCATTCCTTCTATGTAATTCCTTGTTCTTAGGAAAAATCAATCCGTAAACTATTTGTATTTTTTTTTAATATATATAAAACAAAACACAGCAATTTTCAGTGTTGCAAGTAAATATAAATATAACCACTGCTATATTAAATCCTATTTCAGTCCTAATTATTCGTGTGGTTCTCCCGACTTTACTTTTAAAGAGATTTATTGATATTTTGTTTCATATTATGCACTTTTAAATTAAATTTCGTAGCACGTTTGCTGATTAATGCACTTGCATTATGCTTTTACATGCATTTGACAACGGGTTTTCACGCTTTGTGTTTGTATTACTGTGAAAGAGCATGCCTACTGCATTCGACATTCATTTCTTGTAATTATAAAAATAAGGTAGGTTTTTTTCTTAAATTTAATACTAAATAGTATTCTATTTACTAACACAATAAGTAACACATACATTGAAATAAATTGCTAATTCATATCGTATTATAGGCGTAGAAACATACAAGCCATAATATTTCTTAAAAATAATATTTAATTCAATTAAATAAAAAGTTATTAATTACAGCCCCCAAAGGAACCAAAGAAATGGAAAGGCGTGTTCAATGCAGTTAACATGGTCGGGTACTGTGCACAAGCGGTGACTTATTTCCATACCTATACTGAAGATTGTCTTCAACTCGATGTTTATACACCTGAATATTTCAAACCTGGAGGCAAGTTACCAGTGCTGGTCTTCTTCCACGGAGGATGTTACTATTTCGGTAGCAAAAGCCAGTACGATCCTGAATTTCTAGTCACCAAAAACGTAACTGCCGTTGTAATTAATTACAGACTTGGAGTTTTGGGTTTTTTATGTTTGCACGACGTAGCAAATCTCGGATTAAAAGACCAACTAGCAGCTTTGAAGTGGACCAAGAGAAACATTGCGGCGTTTGGCGGCGATCCGGACAATGTAACAATTTTTGGTCAAAGTGCAGGCGCTAGCTCTGCAGCCATGCACATGCTATCGGAAAAGAGTAAAGGACTATTTCATAAAGCCATTTTAATGAGTGGTAACTCTCTATCTCCGTGGGCTTTTAACTTAGAACCAATAGTACCAGCTATCCAAGATGCTAGAAAACTAGCAACGGTGCCAATGAATGGTGATATTGAAAAAAACCTTTACAATATTTTTGCTAAGGCTCCCTTGCCTGACCTTTTGACAGCGACGGCTGGTATTATAACTTCTACCAGATATTTTAAGTACAGCCCCTGCGTGGACAGCAACTTCACTGATCCTTTCCTTCGTGATGCCCCTTACAATATTATAAAATCTGGCAATTTCAACAAAGTACCAATTTTAACTGGATCTACAGATTTAGAGGGTTTATTATTCTACGGGCTGCATGATGCGAAATCGTTAAAAGATTGGGATCAATACTTTGTCGAGAGACTGCCTTCTGTGTTCTCGTGGTGTTCGCAAGAAGATAGAAAAGTAATCGCTGAAAAATTTCGTTCTTATTATTTTGGTAAGAAAATGGTGCAGTCCTCTGTTCGTGGTATAATCAATATATATTCAGACTGGCTCACTGAAGCTACAAGAGACGCCTTTTCCAATTTGATGGCTCTTTACTCCCAACAGCCAGTATACAACTATGTATTCTCATACCAAGGGGGAAGAAATTTCGCAACAGCTTACGTAGGAAAAAGTGTAACGCCAGAGGGTGCTTCCCACATGGATGACATTTTCTATTTGCACAAGCCGCTAGGGCAGTCATTGCCACTTTTAAACTCTGATAAACTAATCATCGAACGCTTCACCGCAATGGTGACAAACTTTATGAAATACGGGTGAGTTTAATCATTATTATCTTACCAAACTACTGTCCGTGTGGTCCCGGCATAGAATAGGCCACCCCTTCATTTCCCGTGGGTGTCGTAAGAGACAACTCAGAGAGAGCGAGGGATGGACAGCAGCGTCCCTCTTAAAACATCCCCAAAGCCTAACTGTGGTTGCCAACCCTCCTGCCAATAATAATAATAATAAATTTATTTGCATTAAATAGGGTAGGTATCAGTGGTCTCATATTACATAAAGTTTCTTGCCTATTTGGCCAAAATAGCATGCAAATGTCTCATTTTGATAGGAACTGATTCATTTATGCATCTATGCATATTTAAGTGTGGCATTTACTGGCAAAACCCCCAATGGGGAGGGTTATGTTCAACAATAGACAGTAAAAACTGATATGATGATGTGACATTACCTAACATATTTTTACTGCAAAGTTCGATCTGTCTGATTTCTTCAATGTATTTATTATTGCCAACAAATGACCAGTCTGACTTACTCTATTGACAATTACAAGTATCTCAATTCCAATGCTAAAGCCTGCTCATATATCGTCCATGGCGCAACACTATAGAAATAAAAGTACACAATCCGTACCCAAGGAAGTAGCCCAATTATTAAGGGTATTGACCTCGATATGACAGATATAGGATTTCAGACCTCGCCGAGATCAGAAATTATATAGTATTTTATACTATTATTATACTATATTAAGTACTTTATATTATTCTCAATTTCGTGTATAATATAGTATATTTTATATATGTGTAAGTATATTTATTATTTATATATATTTATTCATATATATATGTAATTTTAGTATGTATGTATATCAATAATCACTAGTATCGTATTCGAGTATTCTGACACTTGCCTATGGTTGACTGGAAGAGAATGCTTTTAGCATTAAGTCCGCCGTGTACACATATATGTACTAATGAATAAATAAATAAATATAGCCACAAAAAATATATATTTTCTTGTAATCTAATTAATGTTTTGAAACGTTTTCTTTTTACAGGATAAACGTTATTTACGTGTTCTACTATAGGATATGTTAGGAAACAAGCTATTACATTATAACAATGTAACACAATATCCGTGAATTCGTTATCGCAGGATGCGCAACTACAAAAACAGGATTACTAATATATATATATATATATATATATATATATATTGTTTCCTCCAAAAGATTACAATAGTAAACTTATTATAAATATAAATAATTACAAGAAATAATCACAATGAGAAATATATATATATATATATATATATATATATACAGTACTATCATACCTACTTGTACAACTATTAGTCCATTACTTAAGGTTGCCTTAAAAAGATTGCTCTCAGCAATAAGACCGCCTTACTATACTTATACAACTGTATCGTTATATTTATTGTGTTGTTTTCCCCCTATATTGTATAATGCAAATAAAATATACTCATTCATTCATTCATACATTACATACCAATCTTCTTCTTCATATGCCTGCTCATCGTACTGGCTTCATTTCTTATTCCTTCACTGTTCAAGCTATTAAACGCTGGAACACACTCCCGCTTAACATAAGATCTACCATAAGCAAGTTAGCTTTTAAACACAAATTGCGCACCTATTTCTTAGAAAACTCATTTTCCCTTTAAACTTCTCCTGCTGGTTACTCTGTTTGAGTCTATATAGATTACAATTTGCTCTTCTATTGCAGTTGTTTTATTTAATTGTTTTATATAGTAATATTTTATGTATTTATTAAGTGCATGTATATATTTATTTATTTATTTAATATATTATGTGTATGTTTATATTATATGAATTTATCAAATATTGCTTTATTTTTTTCTCTATTCAATAATGCACCGCCTACGTATTTCTCTGTTCGCCCAATGGTCGACTGGTAGAGAACACCGTCCGGTGTTAAGTCCGCCCAAATGTACATAGAATTTTACTGTGCATTAAAGTTTATATAAATTAATTAATCTAGACATTATGGTATAGGTATTTTTTTATTGTGACTCCCCCTAAGGAGCACGCTTTTTCCCGGATATTAAGTTTCAGGTTATGCATCTAATTCTTTCAATTATTTAGCTAGTTTCCATAGTTTTCTTCCTTTCCAGCCATTCTTTCATTCCGTGGTATAGGTATTAGAACCATTGATTACGATTCTGGAATCCCAAAATCGAATCACAGCAAAAAATTATATAATTTTTCCTAATGTTTGAATGGTATTAGATACCTACATATTTACGTTCCAAAAATTTACATGATGAATATTATATAATATTTATAATTATAATAATTGAATAATTTATCATCATCATCATCACCTCTGCCATTATTTGTCCACTGCTGAACATAAGCTTCCCCCATAGACTGCCATAAACGGTCTGTATTAATTTATCATAATCTGCATTAATTATTTAGCATGCAAAGTTAGATGTTCTGTAGGTACTATAAGATACAAGGCGACAAACATGTATGTAATAACCTACTATTTAAATAAAATATTTAATAATTTACTTTAAAAATCCGTTGTTAGCTGTAATTATAAGAGACTTAGCATGTAAGTTGTTTTTTTAAGAGCTGTGAATTGTTGTATTAAATAAATAAATAAATAAGTTTACTAAGTTAAAAAAATGTCCCAGCAGTGAATCGTGACTATGTATTAATATCTCACATTCTTAAGACACAATATAGGGATGTATCCTTGAATTATTTGTATTAGATGTGTTTGTATTTGACGCAAAAATGATTTTGCGTAAATAGGGTTCCGGGTTCGATTTCCGATCAGGTCAATTTAGGAAACGAACCTTTCTGAATTGACTTGCGTCTGGGTGTGTTCCGAGTTATTCCCCCATATCGTCATAGTCGTAGAATACTGACGGATCTATATATGTAATCTTTGTCAGATCCGTCAGTATTCTACTACTATGACGATATGGGGGAATAACTCGGAAGTTTTTTGTAGTTATTGATATTTTCTTCAATATTGTAGAATACACTTTTGTTCTATCACCAATATTTTCCGTAGCGCACGCGACGAACGATATTTTATAGCATTTTTTACACCTTGAGTTACGTTACTAAAGTTTTAGTAAGGATCCCTAATCTTTTCTAGCATAAATATAGCCTATATTACTCAGGGTGAATGTAGCTTTCTAATGGTGAAAAAATTTTTGAAATCGGCAAAGTAGTTTTTGAGTTTATTCATTCATACACATATATACATACACACAAAAATACAAATCTTTCATAATATTAGTATAGATTAGTGTCCATTACTAACAATCGCATCTCTAGTTACAAGACTAAACATTAGAGTCTAATTTCTAATACATCATTAGAAATTATTACATTTCCAGAGACCCCACACCACGTCGCACGAAGCTGCTCCCGGTTGCTTGGCCGCCATCGACTACCAACTCAACATACGTGATGCGCCTTGATCACGTCCTATCAGTGATCAGGAAGTCACAGCCGGTGCCTGCGAGATTTTTCTTGGATATGCTCTGTACATACGGACACGAAGGTTACGTTCCCTGCGACAGTAAACAGCAATGTAACTTAAAACAAAGTTATAGATACAAGTCAATAGAAGCAGAAAGGTTTACGAGTATTAATGATTTTGGACATTGGTCGATTCATTCTCAATTACCCTTTCCCATATTCCCTGACATGCCGTGAAAGTACGTAATTTCTTTCCATTTTGGATTAATTGCTATAGGCTACGTCTTTCTAATAAGAACCTCACCGTGGCAATACATAAAGGTATCATGGGCGAAGCGGTACACTCTTTTATGTCCATGGTACTGTTCATGTCTATAGCCAATTACCGCTTACCATCAGGTGAGCCGTCAACTTGTTTACCATTCTAAGTTGCATAAAATAAAAAATCTCTCAAAATTTTTGTTCTTACTTTAATGAATTTGTATGACAACACGTAGACTGCATGGTGCATCAGTGTATGTTATGTATAATTATTAATAGCAATACCGAATCATTGTCTTCACAGAAATTGTAGTATATGCTTGCACTATTTCTATTTTTGTTATCTGAAATCATTTCATTTCTTTTTTTTTTTAATCTTAAATGAAAAAACTATACAATTAATATAAATTACAATGTCTACATAGATAAAAACATGAAATAAGTTTAAAAAAATGTATCAGCTATAATTTCGTGTATGAATTTTGTAAATCTTTATCGATTTTGGCAGATTATCGACTTTGAGTAAATGTGATCGATACTTTTTCTTTTTTTTAATTAATGTAACTTACAATTCAAATAAATTAATTTTAAACACACAGATTGTAGTTTAAGAGTCGAATTTAATTTCATTTTTATTTTTTTACTGTTGCCCAAATCTGGGAATAACGTTTTAAATGACCTTTTAAGGGCTGTAGCACCTTAAAATAAGGTACACAATGTCTACACAGATAAAAATATGAAATAAGTTTCTCGTGTTTATAAAAATAGATGAAGTAACTAATATGTAATGTTACTATACTGGGAACAATAACATTTCAACACTTTTTATAATTATTGCCGGATGATCAGTCATTGATTGCTTACTTGATTATTGTTATTGATTGATTGAGTCCTTGATTAACTACGATAGTTACACGTGATAGCTATATTAAACATGATAATTTTTAACTGGTCCTTTTGTGAATCAAATATCAAGAGCTATTGGAATTGTAACAAAATATATGTCTGTAAGTAAACAATAGAAACAGATTGCTAGCTAATAAATACGCTAATACCAAAGTTCACTTTATAATGTATTTATATTAAATGTACTTATATAAAATACAATAAAACATTAATTAAATTACTGTGATGTATTTATTTCACGGATATCATAAACTTCTAAAAGTCTACTTTCGGTTAGAAAAGAGTGACATCCAAGTTTCTTTTCCGATTCCTCTCGACAATTCAGCTTAGCTATCCTTCGAGGTATGTCGGTAACTTTGGCTCTTTAGCAAATTGTTGTTATCATACTATTTTGTTAAAACTGAAATCTTTTTGCCAAAAATAGAAGCGTATTTTATTAATCTTTTTTGTTTTATTTGCAGCCACCAGAAGAACCACCAAAATGGAAAGGCGTATACAACGCAGTCAATATATTCGGATCCTGTGCTCAAGCAGTATACGTCTTTCAAATTTATAACGAAGATTGCCTTCAGCTTGACGTTTACACGCCTGAACATGCCAAACCTGGCGACAAGTTACCAGTAATGGTCTACATCCACGGGGGAGCTTACTACTACGGCAGCAAAGGTCACTATGATCCTGAGTTTTTGGTTACAAAAAATGTAGTTGCCGTTATAGTAAATTACCGACTTGGAGTATTCGGATTTCTATGTGTGCAAGGTGTGGCAAATCTTGGCCTGAAAGACCAAGTAGCAGCTTTAAAATGGACCAAGAAAAATATTGAAGCATTTGGTGGCGATCCGGACAATATAACAATTTTTGGTCAAAGTGCAGGCGCTAGCTCTGCAGCTATGCACATGCTATCAGAAAAAAGTAAAGGACTGTTTCATAAAGCAATTTTAATGAGTGGTAACTCACTAACTCCGTGGGCTTTTAATCTAAAACCAATAGTCCCAGCAGCTCGGGATGCTAGAAAACTAGCAACGATGCCTATGAATGATTCCCTTGAGGAGAACATTTTCAATATTTTCGCTAACGCTTCCTTGCCTAGTCTTTTATCTGCAACATTAGACGTTTCAACTTTTACTGGATATTTTAAATATAGTCCTTGCGTGGACAGCAACTTCACTGATCCATTCTTTCGCGATGCACCTTACAATATTATAAAATCAGGCAATTTCAATAAAGTACCAGTTTTAACTGGAACTACAGATTCAGAGGGATTACTGTTCTACTGGCTGAATAATGCAAAATCATTGACAGATTGGGATCAAAATTTTGTTGAGAGACTGCCCTCCGTCTTTTCATGGTGTTCAGATGAAGATAAAAAACTAATTGCGGACAAGTTCCGCTCTCATTATTTCGGAAAGAAAAAAGTGCAGTCTGCCAAATCTGTTCGTGGTGTAACCGAATTCTATTCAGATTGGGTTACTGATGCTACAGCTGATGCCTTTTCCCACCTGATGGCTGTTTACTCCCAACAACCGGTGTACAATTATGTATTTTCTTACCAAGGGGAAAGGAATTTCGCAACAGCTTTCTTTAAGCAAAATTTAAAAATGAAAGGTGGCGCTACCCATTCGGATGACATTTTCTACATCTTTAAGCCAGCTGGACTGACGTTATTGCCTTCAGAGTCAGACAAACTATTCATGGATCGCCTCACTACTATGTTCACAAACTTTATGAAGCACGGGTGAGCCTTTAAATATATATAATATATAAAATCACCTCCATAGATACCTCTCTCACTCATATATCTACTATCAGGTTGTCACGCATGCATAGGTTTGTTTAAAGACTAAAATGTGGCTTAATGGATATAGCAATAAATGTACTGGGTATGAATCAAGGAACCTTACTCCTTCTCCATTTTTAACACTGGGGAACCCCCCTCTTTTCTAACGGAAACATTACTAGGAACCAAATGGTAAGATTCTCGATTTCCAATCTTATATCAAACAAAAAGCTTGTTTTCTTTACCAGAAATCCCACGCCACGTCGCACGAAGCTGCTCCCGGTTATTTGGCGGCCCTCGACTGCCAACGCATCATATGTAATGCACCTTGATCGTATCCTGTCGGTGACCAAAAAGCAGGAGCCGGTGTCTACGAGATTCTTCTTGGATATGCTCTGTACATATGGATATGAAGGTCACGTTCCCTGCGATAGCAGACAACAATGTAACTTAGAACCAAACGTTAATAGGTGAATTTAGGTTTAAAACCCATTTAGGTTTGTCAGACGGGAAACAGGTAAAACTACTGAAAACGGCCCAGCAGAAGTTCAACTTGTTATAACATGGTTATGGTAGAAAATACGATTTACACCATACGAGATCTAAAGACGTGAAAAGACCTGGTATAACACTAATAAATGTCGTTTATCAATATTGGTAGATCCAATAGTTTATTCTACTAATTCCACTTGCTAGATCCACAGAATAAATCGACGTAGGACACCAAGTGAAAGGATGGTTCAGGGAGGTTTGGTCGACACATAAATAAACTATTAAAATATATTAATATAACCATTTTTATTTAGCCCCTCCTTAAGACTATACACGTATGCATTCCTTCCTTCGTCATTTTTTTTTCTGTTGTATGTGTGCTATTAAGTATGTGTATGTTATGTATATATTATATATGTATGTGATGTATGTATGTATGTATCTATATATGTTTGTATATGATAATATTTATATAATAGTGCGCCACCTACTCTTTGTCTTTTTCTCAATGTCCTCTACCCAAAGGTTGTCTGGAAGAGATTGCTTAGCGATAAGGCCGCTTTTTGTATCAATTCTCATTAATATTTACTGTATTTGTTATCTCTCTTTTTACTTGGTGCAATAAAGTGTAAATAAATAAATAAATATGCATGTGAATGATTATGATAAATATTTCTGCAATAAACAGAGTCTACTCCCGTGATCGTCCCATGCTTATTTTGTAACGATTGCACATAATCTACTAGTTATCCTTATTCATCCGGGCAAAGCTGCAGAGTACAACTAGTGCTGTTTGAATAACAGTAAATAAAAATCACTCAATTTCCACTGATACTGGTGATAGGTTCTTCACTGAATGGAGTGATAACAGCATAGTGGCATAAGCACCACAGAGACTACCAAAATTATAAATACATAGTGTAGTATTTAATTTGCCGCAGAGTCCCTGATAGAATCGGCCATCACTTCCGTTCCCGTGGCTATTAATAAGAGGCGACTAAACGAGGGATGGGCAACAGCGTCTCTCTTAAAACAACACCAAAACCTAACTGCAGTTGCCAACTAGTCTAAGCGTGGCAACTACTGATAACCCCCCTCCCCCCGCGTTATGAGGGATGCCTATGTTCAGCAGTGGACAGTAAACTGATGGGATTGGGAATCGTGTTTAATAATATTTAGATTTATATTAATTCATTAATTTTTATGAAATATACTCATGTGGGAGGAAGGGATTGTTAGTAATGGAGACTGAGAATCCCATTGCTAGCAATATACCCAACCAGGTCGACCTCCTCGCGGTTACCCCTGGAAACTATCATGGTTAATTCCTGATGAATTCATCATGATGGGCTAACTGGCCTGTTTCCATTCTCATCTATCACCCTTCACTGGTGCTCCGCCAGCGTATCCCGTTAGCGCAGGCGGGGTTACCATACCATTTTCAACCACCAAAAAAAAAATATAAATATATATATATATATATATATATATATATATATATCCAAGTACCACATTCTACAGTACACTATGTATTAGGTATCTATTACATCTTTGTCAATATTGACAAGACCACAATTTCGGTGTTAGAATTATGTAAAGTGTGATGTAAGTAGCCGCCACGGGAACGGTACCTCACTGACTACATAAAATGTTCTTATACAAATACTCAAAAGCATTTCTTTATTTGACAAGTTGAAATGTTATGTTCTTGTAAATTTGCTTGAAGACAACAGAATGGTAAAACATTGTACTTGTTTATTCGGAGGGGGAAAAGGGTTGTTAGTGATGAGGCCTAACGGCCCCATTGCTAGCAATATACTCTATTAAATTAATCTCCATGCAGTTTCTTCTGGAAATCATTTTATTTATTCATTTATACTTTATTGTACACAAAATTACATTGTTATAATTTTTCTTTTTATACAACTTAGAATGGCAAACAAGCTGACGGTCCACCTGATGGAAAGTGGTAACCGTCGCCTATAGACATCAGCAGTACCATGGACATAACAGAGTATACTCTTTCGTCCATGATACCCCCGATGCGTTGCCATTCCTGAGGACTCGGGTGTTATTCCTCTGTACCCAGTAAATTCACGCCATATCCCACCCTTCAAACCGAAACACAGCTATGCAAACACAATTGCTTCACGGTTGAAACACGAATGGGACAGAGGTACCCAAGCAATCGACTTTTGTATATAGTCTCCCCCTGGTAAATTAATTAATATTAAATGAAAATGTACAACAGGTGAACTTAACTCTGTAAGAGTTCTCTTCCAGCAAACCTTGAGTGGAAAGGAGCATTAATTACCATCATAATTAATTATTGTCGAAGTCATCTCTGCTTCATTCTCACCCATCTTCCTTGCTGGTGCCCCACCAGTGTATAAGTCAAGAGCGCAAGTAGGGTTAAAAGAATATTATAGTGTTTTTTTTTTTTTTTGAAGGGCGAAAATGGTATGGTAACCCCGCCTGCGCTAACGGGATACGCTGGCGGAGCACCAGTAAAGGGTGATAGATGAGAATGAAAACAGGCCAGTTAGCCCATCATGATGAATTCATCAGGAATTAACCACGATAGTTTCCAGGGAGAACCGCGAGGAGGTCGACCTGGTTGGGTATATTGCTAGCAATGGGATTCTCAGTCTCCATTACTAACAATCCCTTTCCTCCCAATATTATAGTGTTATTTCATATCTCACACGTTGGAGCGACAGATATAGTGGGCAAGCTAGTCGGTAGAGCAATTTAAAAGGCATAAGTAGTTGTTACAGTATATATTGCCATACACACAAGAACAATGTTGAGGTACACGATTAATAGAATGAATTGTTTAGGTATTATTAGACAGGCGAGAACGCGGGAAAAACGAGTATATGCACGCGTGAGCATGCGGAGGTAAAACGGAGTCGAATTAATACAGAACTTGTTCTAAAAACATATCTCAGAAAGACAATTATACAGTTTGTCAAATCTCTGTATTCAAATTTGAATATATAATAATAGTAAACATGAAGAACCGTAAGTCTGTGACTTTGCAGATAACAAAATACGATGCGTATCAATACAATATCTTGTCAACAAATCCCTGTTATGCCTCCCTTCGCAAACAATATAACCTCCGGATACGAGTGGCTCGGGGGCTTCACGCGAAATGAAATAAACTATAAATCTACAAACATGCTCGAGAGGCTCTCCAAACAGTCCACGCCACTTTTATGTATATGCAGGACCAATAGATGTACCACTAGATGTACCAATAGATGTGATAGATAATGACCACAGGGTAATCGGTAAGCAGTACTAGGTACACAACTGCACACAGTAGGTATTCCTTTTTAAGATGGTAATGTCATGATAATCCCGTCTATATTATCGATACAAACCGACAGCGCATCTGTAAGGGTAATTTTTTAATGCGACTTAGAATGGTAAACAAGCTGACGGCCCACTTGATGGAAAATGGTAACTGTCGCCTATAGACATAAATAGTTTCATGGACTAAACAGAACACATTGTGTTCTGTTTTGTAGAAAATTTAATATCTGTTGAGAAGAACCCGTAAGAAATTCAACAGTTACTCTTAAAGGTCATACACTGTGTTTGCCGTTTGAAGCATAGACTTTTATAACGTTTACACAGTAATGGACGGGTTTTTATTTTAAAAGTAAAGTCGCAGATTGCTGTGTGGTCGTCTGTGAGTACGGCACTTATACTGTGAGTCACGGCATCGTCTAAAATGATTATTCTTCTCTCAATTTTTTTATTTATTTATTTATTAATTTCGGACATGTTGGATCCATATTATGTTAGCAGGTGTACTTAAAAACTATGTTAATACTTAATTACTAATAATGATCTAGTCCTCTCGGCAAGCAATCTCACGAGAGGACTATGTAATTTATTAACAAAAACATTTGGATGGTTGTCAATACTAATTCTGTACCTACTCCTGAAAATTCATCCAAAAAATTACTTTCGTACCAGTTACAAATTTGCAGGATTTTATAATATATTAAATTTGATATGTAAAATAGTCGATTATGTGAAATTTCCATTGCCCGAGCATTAAATAAGTATATCGAATTCAAACCAAACGTGTTACAATATCACAGAGTCCGACCTATGGCGTCGCAAAACCACGCCGCGCCGCCCCACACTGCACCGCACTATCTCTAAATAAATATTCAATGTTTTGATTCAATTTCTCGCGACTCCGCGCCGCGCCGGACCTCTAGATGCTCTGTTGTGACAGAGATATCCTCCGATATTGCAATATTAATACAAACTCAACTCTATATTGACATTGGAAATAAGTTTTCATGCATATATCGCGAGTATTTCAGTATTAAAACTATCAGATTCGGACTCTTTATTGAATTGATTAATTGGTTAAAGATAATATCCAAAACCGTGTGTATCCCGGCATAGGACAGGCAACCTCTTCCTTTTCTGTAGGTGTCGTAAAAGGCGACTAAGGGAGAGCGAGGAATGGGTAGCAGCATCTCTCTTAAAGCATCTTTAAAGCCTGACTGCAGTTGCCAATCTGCCTGCTAAGCAACTACTAGCAAAATTCCCTTTATGATGATGAATATCCAAAACTCCTTTCTAAATTATAAAATATATGCCTATGAATTTTCTAATTATATATATAATATATACATATTAAAAACTACATAAATAAGCTAACTGCCAAAATTGACATCACAATCTTGTAAACAAGCAGCCATTCACACATCAACCGTACTCAGCAAAGTACCTATTAGGAGATACCGTATTCGTACAAAACACACAATATCATCAGACTCCAGACACACAGCGGTCACCAACCACCCAACAGGCAACTAACACACAACACTCAACAAACACACCAGATTCATCCAACACAATTCAAACACCAAACACACAAACACTCACAAACTCAGTATACACTCATAAGAGAAGGCGAGGTAGAAAACGGACATAAAAAAAAACTGGGGCATACGTACCTTTTTTCCTGTGGGTTACAGGACGGGGTATGTTTTTAAGCCGACATAAGTCGAGAAGGTGAAAACCAACTAATATATAAAATTGAAATTTCTAACAATTAGTAATTAGGTATATAAAATAACTTATATAAATCTCTGAAAGTTTAAAATTATCACATCCAGTTTTTTATTTGTGAATGTTGTTTTTGTAATGTATATTAATCTCGGAAGGTTAACAACATCTGTAAATATTATGGAAAGGTAGGACGAATCAGTAAAATAAATGAAAAAAAAAATAGAAGCAATAAACAAAGTTGACATTTATAAGTAAGTAATATAAATATACATTTTGAACGAGCTGCAGTCCGCAGTGCAAGGCAAGCATCGTAGATGTTCACCCTGAAACTTTTAAGTCAAA